AAGTTCCAGGTATAGAATTTTATGCTCGTTATGTGGATGACATATTAATTATTTTTGATTCCTGTATGGTAACACCTCATGAAATAGAAGATTATGCGAATACCTTACAACCCAATATAAAGTTTACTAGTGAATTGGAACAGAATCAGGAAATAAACTATTTGGATGTGACTATTAAGCGTGAGAAAACGCAATTGGTGTTCCGTAAGTATGAAAAATTGTGTAATACAGAAAAAACAATTAGTTATAAATCTTATTGCCCTATAGAAACTAAGAGAAACGTTTTTACCATGGAATTGAGGAAAATACTAAACAGAACAACACTCTATGAAGATATAAATAAAGAAATTAAACAATTATTTAGAAAATATTTATTGAATGATTACCCGAAGAATAAAATTTGTAAGTGGTATAATTCTTTTATAAATTACAGATATAATGTTAAAAATTGTATAGATAATAACATTTATGTAAAAATGCCTTATATATATAGTTTTTATGAACGATATAAACCTTTATTTAAAAAGTCTTCTGTATGTGTAGTGGCCAAGCAGGAAAATAAAATGTCGAATGTTATTAATATTATAAATACTAAAGGTCGAAAAACAGTAAGAAATCAGCTTGACGTCGCAGGAGTGGTCTACAAGGTATCATGTGATTGTTTACAAGCGAAATCATATGTTGGAGAAACGGGACGGAAGCTCGAGATACGCCTAAAAGAACACGAGGCAGCGATTCGTCTAAAAAGACAAGAGTCACCATGGTATCAACATTGTGTTAATTATAATTGTAAAATTAATAGAGACTCTGTAAGAATATTGTATAAAATGGAAAATTTGTTTAAAAGACGTGTGGTAGAACATCTTTGTATAATAGAACATGCAAATTTGTTGAATCAGAATGTCGGTCTTAACGTTGATGCATGCTGGGAAAAATTTATTTGTATAAAAGGAAATAAGTGTCTGGTTGTTGGATAATCCACTGATGAGGCTGTAAAGGCGAAATGCATTTGGAACGTGATTTGAAAACTATGAAAATAAAAGAATTAACATTGGTTAAAGTAAAGTATCTTTGTTGATTACTATTTGTCCGCTAATATAAATCACTCGAAGTCGGTCTAGGAAAGAGTGTTTTAATTTACTCGTCTATTTTTAGAAATTATATTTTTAGTATTCTTACCGATCCCATTGTTTTATATTTTTATATTTCTTCAACAATTAATTCATACATATAAAGAAAAATAATGCATAAAAAAATTTTAATTTTTTACTTACTTTCGCTTGCTTCTCTCTCTCTTTCTCCGTTTTTTCCTACTTTTTGCGATTCCTTGTTTTTCCCTTTTTGTTCAGCCGCGTTTTCTTCCTTTTTCCTTTTATTAACAGGAGCTGCGGGCACGGTCTCAGGCTCTTCCCATAATGGTAATCTTCTGGATCCAGGAAATATATTACTTAAATGTTGCGAAAAAATGTAGAAACGTTTGCCTGGTTTTTTTTTTGAGGGCCAATCGTGGTATTTTTTATACATGAAGCTGTACATGTACGAATCCGATAGGTCTTCCATGTAATGTTTCGGTAGGTTTTTCTTGTTTTTCAAGTATCCCCACAATCTCTCTATGTTTTGGGTGTGAACCCCAGTTTTTGGGTTCACAAAATTCTCCGAATGATTAACCGTCTCGTGGGTGATTTCAATGCCTTCCAGGTCGTCTATGTGGTTGTATCCCTTCCATTCGTCCATCAAAATGGTGCTACCTGAGTTTACGAATTTACAAACGATCCAGTTAAGCATTGTTTCTGATCTATCGTTCACTTGACACACAAAGCAGCTTTTGTCTTCTCGGCATATTCCGCCCACTACCCACTTTGTGCTCTTCAGTTTACAGCCTTTTTCATACTTGTGCTTACAGATAACTGTCTCGTCCAGTTCAACAGTTTTTCCCAGACCTCTGATTTTGAACGACAGGATATTGTGCAAAGCTACTAGCATTACGAATCGGACGTGGTTCAACCAGTTGACAGCGGCCTTGTTAGAAATTCCGGCAGCATTAGCCGATACTGTAGTCGAGCAATCCAACGCTAAATAATGCCACACAAACGACAATATGCTACTCCAGGGAATTTTGCCGAATTTGCCTTTGAAAGTTCCTTCGAACGCCGAACTGTTGTTCCAGCATTTTTGACATCTCATTGCACACGATTTCCTATCGTCACGATAAATGATTTTGCAAGGTTTCGAACATTTCGAGCAAACATCAGCAACGTGCTGTAATCCTAGTTTTACCGCAAATATAAACCCTTTGTCGATACTGGGATCCAGACCCAACTCGGGATAGTCGCTTTCGAGAAGACGGAAAAAGTCCCGGGAGGTACATCCCCACCAAAATTGTCCGGAGGCAATGTCCAAATCACTCATTCGGAAAAAAAAAAAATAATTAATGGGAGAAAAAACAAAAAATTGCCTTCAATTTAAACAAAATCAAAACAAATTCCTGTAACAAACTGACCTTCTTCTTCATAGTCGTCGTCGTCACGCAATTTGAACTTTCGCACGCGCATATGCCCCTCGTCCGTTTAGCAGAATTAATTTGCATATCCCGCCGCGTTAAAATTCAGCTCCCTCTATCACAAGCGTCGCTTGGTACCCCGATACGAGATTACCGGAAACGCCACCATCTGGATACCTAGGGTAACATCAACCAATTTTTGAATAAATGGATGCAAAATACTATTATTTATTAGCTGTTGTATGCAGTATTAGACATTTGGCATTATTTTGAGATTACATTTTTAATTAAACTGTAGTAAGGTTTTTCTTTATGTTTGGATTAGATTCTTGGAGATGCTCCTCTCTATATAGTATACTTATATACATGTATAGACTTTAAATAAAATGAAAGATAAAATTACAATGAATTTCAATGGGATACATTTCTAGGTATACAAAAATTTGAGACCTAAATCTTTATATACAAATTAAAATTACATAAAATATTTATGTATATTAAATAAGAAATAATATATTAATGTATTTGTATCACATTTATCTGTAATAAAATAGAGAGACCAGGAACATTCTGGCTGAGGATTGGTG